ATCGACGTCTGTTGGCACGAAATGCTTCCAGAACTGCAGCCGCCATGTGGGAAGATGGGAAGAGGTCTAAGATCATCGTCCTTCTTGGCTAGTCTCGTCACATGCTGAGTCAGTATTTGTTCGAGCCTCAAGGACTGTTTGATGAATTTCCATTCCCTGATGTCAGAATTTGATTGAGTAGGGTCTGCATTTTCCGGTATACCTTGCACAATTATGTTTCTTCCACGGAAAAACTTCTCGCGAGATTCTTTAGGGATGTTCCGTATGCTATTGCGCTCAGAGTACGGTATGTCCGGCAATATTCTCCCGTTACCATTGGATTTCAGCAAGTGACTTGCTAGCAAGACGTCCTCTACGTCGGTAGCATTCTTAAGTTTTACTCTGAGAAGCCTCGGGTGATTTAGATGCTTAGAATCTTTTCCTCGAGTGAGCCGGGTGACCGTCAAAAGCTCTATTCTAGGAAGTTCGAGCTTCTTGTTCAATTCACTCCAGAGCATCCTGTCGTTTTTGTCCTGCAGACTGAGAGGAAGGTCAGGATTGTCAACGAGGTTCATGATAATGAGAGAATCGTCACGAACTGTTGTTAATTTACCAGGTTTCACTATGGGTTCAGGTTTAATAACTTGTTGTTTGGAGGTAAGTGCGCGTTTTTGAGTCTTGGGCTCTTTATTGACCGGACGAACAGTCTTGGGGGTAGACTGTGCGACTAAATCACCAGTTATTTTCCGTACAGCAACACTTGGGTTGATCGGCTTAGGCGGTGATGCCTGGTTCTTTTGGGCTCTCTTAACATGGGTCGAATCACCTACAGGGCTTTTGGGAACCACTGTTGTGTTCAGGGACCCTGAGCTGGGAGACCCGAGTTTGCTTAGGGAGTCTAATATCGTCGACATTAGTGTTGATGGATGCTCCATCAATGGTATACCTGTCGAAATCCCTATTTTTGTATCCGTCGCACGCTCTTGTTTGTCTACCGGTTATTTTACTATCGTTATTGAAGTTAACTGACAACTTGTTCCGAAGACCTGTCAGTAGGACAATGATGTTACTCGGCAAGACTACAGCGTCCGTGCTGCACGTGACACATACCCACTTTTGGTCTGACTTGCTGAGTCGGTTGTAAGCAGTTACTGCCAGATCTGTGCATGCTTCGTGGAACCAACCTTTGCAGGTGCCTCACTGCATGCCAGTTGTAACAGCAAAACGGCATCCTGGACGTTTGCATGAGTTTTTCATGACTATGTTGAAGCAAACTATGTTATAGATGCTTGCAAAAGCCTAAGACCTTTAAAAAACATTAAAAAGCACACTGAAAACGGACAAAAATGGATAAAACGAGTGATATAAACTGAAACTAGTCTATACGTGAAAAACATAAAAAACCGAATAGTAAGCTGAGGCAAAACCACAGGTAACTATTAAATATGGTGAAACTCAAAAAACAGTAATCTACCGAACGTATAGCTCAGGATAGATTCTTTAGAACTGAAGTGGTACTTTTGTTGCGCAAGAACACAGCAAAAGTTTGATAAATGCAAATCACGTTAGAACTAAACTTTCCGTTCGAAAAGCGCGCGAAAAGTTGTGTCTTTGAACATCTTCGTTCTTAACTTTCGATTTGACTGTGTTGGTATGCTGCGACTATAAGGGTGTTACGTGTAAAGGCATTGCCACTCATTGTCACCCACTTCAATGGTGTTGATGTCAAGTGTTCCAGAGAGTGAGCTTCCAATTACTGCACCCTCATCCAATCGATCCTGCAGTCCTTCTTTTTACTTTTAGTCAGTGACATGGTCCAATGGTTAACGATCTGGAATTTTGTAAGGTTCTTCATAAGTTACGCGAGTGGACAAGCTTTTTGACACATTGAAGGTATTGTGAATATATCTTCTACAAGAGAATGGGCTATGTCTAACTGTCGAATATGACCCAGTACGACAATAATGAACGCATAAGAATCCTCACAACAGCACTCATTCATTATTCGGCCAAAATCATTCGTCTTGAAATTATGCAACTACATTTTTTAGTTCTACCGAACTCAGTTCATCAAAGGTATTCTGCGTAAATCATTAAGCAAAACCTGGTCACTCTTCTGACATTTGCCTCCTCATTTGATTATTTTTTATGCTATATCAAATGTGTGGTACCAAGCAGTCTCCCCAATGTACAACAAAAGTGCGAAATCTAGTAATTTCGGGCAACTTTCTGATCGTTTACTGTCTCGTTCGTGAATATAAGAATGTATTCTTACCAAAGATTTTAAGGCAATCATTTAAATCATTAGACATTTATCTCCTTTCAAGGCAATAGTGTATCTCATCCTACATTGGTGGGGGGAGAAAAGTAGACGAATTGAAAGTTAAAACTAGCGATAAGTTCTTAAATGACTATTATACTCTTATATGCAGTACTCAACTACTGAACGAAACGAAAAAATCAGTACACATGTCAGGTAGAAGGGATGTGTCCGAATCTCTTCACATGTGGTTCACAGCTCGTCCTGAAGACCTCTATGCTCATTCGCTTTTATTGATCTTAAAACTGGCATGAAATCTCCGCTACCAGACCATCCAGCTCAGATAACAAAACTCCATCAAAACCACCCACCTGACCTAAAAATCTTCTCCACTATCTCGAAACGAAAAATGTTAAGTATTTTACTTAAATTGAACACCAAAAAGTGGATTTACTTCACGGATAGGTATCCCAACTTTATTACACTGCTCTTCTGTACTGAAATATTTTCATTCCTAACCATTTTGAGCGCATAGTGTAAGGTGCCCCATATGTTGCTGCATAACGTTAGTAAGTATGAGCATGGCTTTGAAACTGATTACTGTAAACGAACATTTCCAAAGTTTATGATTAATTTTTCCTATTTAGTACGAGAAATGAATGTCATTTAAACTCTGATGACTTTCATTCATTGCGTCCTTTATTTTGGCTGCGACTGGTCACATAGATTACGCCGTTATTTAAACCTGCCAGCTGCCCTTTTGACTGTCTCATGTTTGTCAGTAGTTTCTATAGGACTAAATTTTGGGAGCATTCCCTTTTCTTTCGAATTTTTTAATCGCGTCTTACTACAGAAATCTAACAAGTTAGGGTTTCTGACTACTTTGCATATGTCACGTCCTTAAGGTAATTCTTTCACTTTGAATTATATGAGCCACACAAGCTTTGTGTTGGGAGGTTTTATATAAACAGTTCATCGACAAAACTGAGTGTAGACATGGGAAAAATCCAAGAAGACCGGGCAGTATTAGAATGCCAAGAATGTCTTGATCAGCCATACGAGACTAGTTTTATTGTTCTTTGACGACGACTATACCTTTCAAAGTATCTGTCAAGTAGTGGAGCTGAAGTAAAGTGTAGCGGCTAGAAGTGGTCCTTATGTTACTCCGCTTATAATCACTAACAAAGCACGAATCACCACTGTTCTCTACTAGACCATGTAAGTCAGGCTAGAGCCCTTCTAGAGTTACAAGGGGCCCTGAGACCAGGTAAAGGAGAACTTAGTTCAAGATTATCAACCTTATCTCACGAAAATGAACATCATTGAAATGGTTAGTCAGAGTAAACCGATTAATCCACTAGAACGCTCTCTTGAGAGCTGAAATATCTCCACATGGAAGACACCTGATGGTAAAAGACGTGACTTTGCGGAAACCACGAAACCGACGCTCCTTCTGACAATCAAAACGGTGATTGGCACGGACCTACAGAATTTTCGGACTTTGTGAAAGACTGGACCGGTCACTCGAACAGATGCTTGGAAATAATAAAACTCACTAGAGAGGGTCTGGAGAGAGGACTAATGTCAAGACAGTTTTCATTGTGTTCCATCCTTGTTGTCGACGAGTAGTATCAAACTGATGAGGGTTAACTATGAGGAATTGAGATGTCTCGTCACAAACAATGAAAAATGAACTGTAGAACTAAATCATGTCAATATCTCAGCCACAATATCCTTTGGTTTAGTCAGTCAAATAACAAATTGATTTAGAATATTAATAATGAATGGTAAAGTGATGAATATTTAAAGTTTGTAGTCAACTCTCTAGGTTGAATTCGGCTTATCAGCTGAACAGACATCTGAGCAAACCGTTAGTTGTATGGTTTTGTCGGCAACAATTCAGTGGTGATTATACGGGATCGTAGATTTACAAAAGTAGACGATTAATGTGTATTACACTCGTCTAAACAACATGTTTTGTTTAGGTAAGGCCTGTGATGTGTAGTAGTCGGTTGGGATTCGTGTACGTAACTTTGTAGTGGATTGGTCTACTAATCCGTTCAATAAGTGTGTGGTATCAAGTATTTTTTGGAAATTTCCCGTTCATTTATTAAGTGAGTACTGCTTGTGAGAGAATAATTTTTGCTATGAATTTCATTTCATGCTCTAATTTTCACTTCATCAACTATCTTCATTCGGAAGTCTGAGACAAGCCTTAGTGATGCATTTATAGAAAGCATGGAAAACACTTCTTTCTTATTTAAATATAATCTTAGTGAGTTGTAATTTACAGGTGAATCCAGTTTCATTTAAAATAACATGGGTATGTCTGACCACATTGAATAGTATAATTTCAAATGTATCTATAAGTTTCTTCCCTATTATAGACTCGATAACCGATCGTCACCCTAAAAATCTTTAACATTAACATCAAGACAAAAATTAGCGAAGAAATTCTTGTTGTTATTCCCTAACTTACTGATATAAAATAGGTTAAATAGTGACCAGTCAGCATTCGCATACCGGTTCAGTCCTAAACACAGTCCATATTTAACTCTTAAAGAAACAGAAATTTTTTGATGAGAATCAAAATACATATTGACCCAAAATAAATGTCAACGTATCAACAGATTCACTTCTGAAATCACGACTAAATAATGAAATCTGAGAAGTTAAATAACCCATACAAAATTTCAAGCTACGTACTCATGCGTAATCAAGAAATGCAACATTCAGAAAAAAAAATAAAAAGACCAAAGTATATCTGTCAAAACAAATATTTTTGCAAAAATAGTACAAAATAAATTCTCTTCTGTATAAAATATACATTTTCTTTAATGTATACGTGGTGACATTGAAAGATGGAACGTTCGACACGAATCTGATCATTTACTCGGTTAATACACGGTTAAACGAAGCTCGAGAGAGATGTTAACCTTTGCCAAGGAATTCACGTTTACCTTCATCGTTCACTGCACAGACATGCTTGAGACGAGAGGAAATAATCAAAGGAGAAAAAGTGAACAATATTAATATCTTCTCTGAACAATGTGAAAGCAAATTTGACTCATCGCATCTCATCTCATTCATTCATTCATTCATTCAAGTGATACATTGTCCGTTTTTTTGTTGGCCAACGTAATAACTCGCTCACATTCATGCCCACTCATCAATCTCCAACACATGTTACTCCAAACAACCAACTTGATCGTTCCACATATAATAACAAACACAAATGGGAAAAAAACAAATTATCCATTCGTCCAATTCACTTACTGGCAATTCACGGAAGCGATCGTTGTAGTCGATACCATAACCAACTATGAATACATTCGGTACTTCGAAGCCAACATCTACAAAATGCCATTTGATACGAATCAGTTTGATGGAATACGTTATAATGACGAGTAATGATGCGTGTCTGATCAAAAGTAGACTACACTCGTGTTACACAGTTTTACTTTGCACGTTGTGACAATCGATCTCTGAATGAACCACTTAATGTGGTTTTGAGTGACTCAAATATACACTTGGTTTAATTTTAACAGAGATCAAAATAACTTGTGAGGAAAGAATTGACTGTTGAATTCTCTTACACGGTTGCTATATTCCTGGTTGGATGTGTTATCAGTGGTCAGGAACACTGGGAATAAATTTTCTTTAGAAATGGAACTGGAACACGGTCAATAGGTATTATTACACAACCGGCCAAAAACACAGTAGTTCTTTGTTGTTCAGTGATGATCGAGTTCCATCTGTCGATAAATCAGTGGATGATGTCCCACTCTGACTCTATGAATACTTGTTCAATGAATTAGCTCACAACGTCTATCTCCGACAGATTCTGTTGTACTATTGAAATGATTCTGACAAGATCAGATCATCATTCGATGAATCACATCTTCGAACCTAGAACGATTCAATTTACATACACTTGAACACTAATCTAGTCAGCCATAATACGCATAAGTAGAGATACAAACAAATTAACATTTGCACAAATACAATGATAGTTCTGTTACGAACAATTTCAGTATTCAAGACTTACAGGTTGGTTTATATCCAGGAAAAGTTATTGTTTGTTTTTTACTAGAAAAACTATTATTTAGATATAAAAAAGCCATTTAAACATTATGTTATTGTAAGTTTAACTAATAACAATAATAATCATTAACATAGTTGTATATGAAAACTATTAAATATTTATTAAATAACAACAAAACAAACAAGGATAACACATACCATAGAGATAAACAGGAAAATGAACTATTTGGTGGTATTTCTTCAATGGGATTCGTAATTCTTTTGACTAATAAACTGTTATTCAGAAAAACCATGAACGTTTGAAAAATAAAGATTAATGAACATCAGGTTTACTAGCAAAACACCGTAGAACTTATATACAAAGTATTCAGTACACCAATGTAATTGACTTGGTGTTCAATGATAACACGTTGGAATCAATGTGAAATACGGTGACATTTATCTCTCTTTACACTGTGTCTCAAAGATACCGTGCATTTCAACGATTCTAGTGTACATGGCAACCATTATCGTTTACTTACATACGTACTTACTTACTTAATAAACACAAAAAAACTCACAAATCTGTCACACCACATCAGATAAACAATTGGTTTCTGCACATTCAGTGTCTTTTGAATTAAATGTATAAAAGATCTACTAGACAATGAATCCACTTGTTCAACCTGTTAACATCCAACTCAACATACACATAACACTCACTTCGAATGCATTCGGTGATAATACAAATAAGAGAACAACATCAACGCAACATACCATGCTGAACGAACAGATTTCGGTTCGTATTTCTTCACAAATCTCTCCAGTTCGTTTAAACTTGTGCCCGTGTCAACCATATCTTCCACAATGAGTACGTCCTATACAGAACAACCAAATGATCATGATAAATTCTCTCCATTTCCGCTCAACCTACCTTATCTCTGAACTTCTCCATATTTGTACACGGAGTGATTTTGGTATCATGACCTACTGAATCATCCTGAACAAATTGATAGACATTAATTCACAAAATGTCATTACTACTTACAACGTATGTACTTGCAGCGACGAAGTCAATACTAACCCTTATGTAATTTTCACGCGTAAATGAATACTTTTGTAACGTTTTCCATATTTCAGAAGCAAATTTGAAACCTCCTTTCAATATACAAATCACGTAGACAGATTGTACACCAGATTTCTCATAATCATCCAATATATCAATAGACATTCTTTCCAAACGACTTCGAACCATTCCACCCGGAATTAAAATGGTTGAAATATGTTTTTCATAGATTTCTGGTAAAGTGAAATTCTTCGCTGAATATCCTTCATAATTATCATCAAACTAATTGAAAACACAGGCAAACAGATAGTGAAGACAATTTGAAAACTTACAATTATGCAATCCTTCTTGTATTCACGGGAATTCATTTCAGTGCTATTAAATAATTTATTCACAATGAATAAGAAATTACTGAGATTATATAGAGTGAAGCATACAGTTGATCATCCAACCAGATGTCTCGTCGCGTTAACCAATCAACTCTCGACTTGATAGAAAGTCGAATTATGATAATAATTCTATAGGAGGAAATCGAGAACAAGATCGCTAGGAGAATCCGTTGAATTCATTGTACTTCATTGCTATATACATAATAATAAATGAACATGATTGTGAGTAAGCATTGTATTTTAGCGATTCGCATGGTGATAATATAGGATACAAGGTTATCATGAAACATTGATCCACTGATTGTATTACAGGAATAACGGTATTCTAGTGTTATTTACTCAAGTTCTTCACTCGATTACGTTGCTTGATAATTGACATGGATTTATTGTATGAAATGAAATACAGATGATTGTTGTCATCAGGGAAACATGCAACTACTTGTTGCAATGTGTTAGGCATTAATTATTATAATCGGACAGATTGTGTGCATTCATAGTTGACTAAATTGAGATTATTCACCTTGTGCTCAATCGTGCTGCAAATAGTTACTGGTGAAAATAATTATGGTACATTGGAATTATTAAATGGTGATTAGTGCATAAACATGATCTGATCATATTCACAACTATAAACTGATTGGCATTCGTTAGCAGTGCCATGAGTGTTAGATGTGTGAGTTGTTGGTTAAAAGGAAATCTATTTCACTGTTTGTGTAACTACTCATTTCACACTAAACTAATTCAGTCTTGTTCCATTGAAAGAATACGCTTTTGTTAAAAGTGAGAATTTTCACATCATGTGAGTAGTCATTCTGATGATGAATGAACCATTCGTTTCATCATTAGGAATGGTGATGGCACCATCAATCCATCCATGATGGACAGTATTGTTGAAACGATACATTTATATAATTCAGTCAGATGTGCTTCTCTACATCAAGTCTTGAATTTCAATTTCTTCTATTATAAATCTTACCAGAAATCTTCAACTACATTTCAGACTGATTATTTCTCTTGAATATTCAATAGTAGTGTATGACCATAGAGTAATTACACTGAGACATTCCAACATACACAAGGAATGTAAATGAAGCCAGAGTAAGTTGACCTGGAGTAGACTTTAAGATTTCCAAGACTATTTATTGAATGAATAAATGAATGAATGAATGAATGAATGAACGCAAATTGCTTTAATGAAATTTGTTTATTTGAGTTTAATAACTAAACAAATACCATAATTTAGTTTAAAATTGACATAATCAAATCACAAATTAGTGTGGAATGTTAATGATAGCGTAAGTGAATTGACCGTGTTTATCTTGTTCATTGCCAAATCATATGCCTTCATAAGCGTTGTAATTCAATTCACACATAAGGTAATAATTACAAATTACAATTTAATGGTGACGATGATAATGATGATGAGGACGCATGGTATTTTTCATTATCTATGCTGACTGGTTGGATGTCATCGGTAAGACATTGTGAATGTTTCACTTTATATTACATGATCAATACAGTGCTCTATCAAAAATGGTAGTTTACGGAACAAGTCAATATCAGAGAGTTAAAATTTGACGTCTACACCACTCTCCAACATTCAGATATAAGCACTGTGAAATTGCATTACAACTTCCATGTTGTGGAACGATCGGTCTGGAGTTGTTCATTACTGTTCAGACTTTTTTGTCAGGTGACAGTTTATTTCATTGTAATCTATCATGTGAATTGCATCCAGTTGTCTTGGTACGGCCGACAGTGGAGAGAGTCCGTTCTCACTCTCGAAATTCTCTCATATGGACACGCGTAAACAGCCACATCCAGGAAAGTCTTTCCCGCTGATTAAGGCTCTGGATGTAGCTCTCTATGAAAACCACCTGATTCGATCTGGGCACTATCATAGTCCACACACAAATCAAGTGACTTGAATTGCGCATATTTATTCGGTGCTCCTTTGTATCAATATTTATTTGTTCAAATAATATAAAGAAATGAATCATGAGAATCTTTTATCGTTGATTGTTCGCATGAATTCAGAGGACCAGCGAATAAATTTGACAAATGTAAGAATTTGGATGCTCCAAACGAGCCATTACGTATTGACAAATGAATATCGAAAGACTCAATAAAACATAACGCCTGGAAGACGTCAATATTTTTAAATTTCTATTTCCATAAATTCATCATTATCATAATGAAGTCTTCAACCGTCTGATTGCTTACTTGGTTGTTCATATTGATATTTCTTTATATGTAGACGACTTGATTTTTATCACTTTCTAAAACAGGCTTGGCTGATCACATTTCTCCACATTTTAAAGCAATAGATAAGTTCTCTTTCCACACCCACAATCTCCATTTCTGGACATTGTGAAAACTGTGATTGAAATGTTGTTATATGATAGTGGGAGCAGCTATCAGATACAAATAAAGTGAGGAATTCGCTCCAGCTCCTGATCATTCTAGAGTAAGTGAGGTGGTTCTCGTACGTTCCATCATGTCAAGGAATATTATATCGATCTGATGGTTGATGGAAATAACCCGTGATTTGAAGTGAGTACTATTCTACTCACTGGAACACAAGGTGTATACCATATTGCCGACTGGTTTTCATACTCGATATGAGCAAATCTTTAGTGAACGAGACTTCTCCATGTCTGTTGCGATTTCTGATTAACCTGACTTAATAAGCGAAGGAATGGATGAATGAATGGAGTAATGATCGTGTGTATTGATCAGTGGACCGCATGATATCCATTATTGATCATAGCTGTCCGATCATTCACATGTAGTTTTGAGCAATGCGCTAAAACATTCAACCAGATATTTCATAGAAGAAGTCGTTTCGCTTACTTTCATCAATCGAATAAGTCTAGTTTGATAGAATTCCGAATGGATACATTATTGAAACGGAAATCATTTTCGGCCGCAATTGGCTTGAAGTGCTTGAGGAGACTGGGTTTGGTCGAGTGAATTTTGTACACAACTCTACTCGTAGAAGTCAACCACCCAGAGTCTTCGAGATGGGTAGACTATCACACTATCTGAGATTGTGTTGTTGTTGGGGACGATAGATCCCCAAAACTCAAATTTTGTAATTTACTTATCGATTAAATGTGCAGATAGGTCAATTGATGAACTATCGATTAAATGTACAAATAGGTCAATTGATGAACTATCGATTAATGTTCAAATAGCAGCCAATTGTTGATTAATGTTCAAAAATCTTCCATGACAATATCGATTGTAAATATTTGTATAAATACGCTTGATTTGTGTGCTTGACTTGACTTGTTATCTGCTTTTGTCTGTAGAATACACTTTCTACACCTTACCCAGACTTTTTGATCGAGTTAGCAGAGTTGGGGTCAACGGACCAGAATAGACTATCGAGATTCTGAATCCTTGATCCGATCGATAAGTCACTGTCATATAATCGGCTGTCTATTTGAGACTTAACAATTGGCGAATAAGTCGAATCAGTAGTATCCTCAAGGATAACGAACCTAACAGTTGTAAAGGACGTTGGAAGTCGATTTCGTCCGTTCATCACATTGACGGTTTCGACTTGTAGTGGCTGGTACTATGCCAAGCACAAATGGGTTATTCTAGCTGCTGAACAGATCAATTCATTCACCCTTCTCAAACTACATTTTCACCTTATCAATTATTCACTTATTATACTGGACTGTTCTTGTATGATCATAATTGTGCTCATTGCTTACCCTATTCATCACGTGTCAGTCTGATATCCATTATTCTTGTCTGAATATAAATATTGAGTCACGCCTAATCGAAACGAGTTCGCTCACTCACCTTCTTCTCTACGCCTCACTTCG